CGGCATATAAAACCACTGATAAATCCGTAAAAAACAGAGTTAAGAAAAGACGATCCGGTAAAAGACACGATTGTGCTGAGCCCATCCTCAGCACCGCTCCACTGCTCGAGTGCTTGTGTGCGTGCTTGGGCCAAAAGACAAAACAAACACAAATAATTACATCCTGATACTGCCATTCATCTTGGAATTCTTCCCTCATCCTCCCACTGCGAAGTCCCTACAAACAACAGCGTCTGTTTAATGCTGCATGCATTAACACAGGACACAGGGGACTGGAAGTGGAAAGGGAAACTACAATGAGGGTCAAAATATGAGCTATAAAGGAGTATTAACAAACGGTTTTCTGGGTTTGGGCCATTTAGTCTGGAGTGTGTGGTGGCGGGTTAAAGGTGAGTCTTTCTATGACTGGGGGAGGTGTTGTCTGATAATCTCTCTGGACTGCGGGGGGATCCTGTCGGGAAAACGGACAGAAAACTCCACGATGAGGTCACCGCGCTGTGATGGATTCTTGGGGAAAGGCAGGCCTTCCCCTCTGAGTCGCTTCACCGTCCCTGGCTTGATGATGTCATGGCATGGGAGCGAGATGATGCGGTTTTCCAGTGTGGGAATGCTAACTGTGCAGCCACACAACGCCTGGAGGACAAAACAAGGAGAGGAGATTGAAAGGGTTAATATCTTTAGCAGGAATTAAATGCCAAAGCCATGAATATCTCGATGACTTAATGTTTTCCATGAACTAAAAAGTTTATCTTCCTTCAGTACGTCATCCTAACAAGTCAAACTTCCACATGTTTTCTGTGTGTGTTCATCCTGTGTGTGTGTGTGTGTGTGTGAGAGAGTGAAAGTAGGCCTTCCTGGCAGATCGTTTTAGTATCGACTAACAGCACTGTGGGGTCTACAGAACAACATTTGGATCAGGGACATTAGGAAAACATGACTTGGCAGTGGAAAGGTTTTCTGGTCTTTGTGTCTCTGTGTGTGTGTGTTTGTGTGTGTGGGTGTAGGTGGGAGGGGTGTGTGTGTCAGTGTTGGAGGGGCTACACATTGCACAGGGGACTAATTTTAGCAACAGTCTCATAGCCGGGGCTAATGAAGTGAGGCAGGAATCGGCTGAGCTCGTAAATAGTTGGAGGGCTTGTCAGATGGGCTGGCAGGACGAGGAGAGAGAACACACTCACAAACACCCCCCCACACACACA